CATATATACATATATATATATGTATATATATACATATATATGTATATATATACATATATATGTATACATATACATATATATGTATACATATATATATATATATATATGTATACATATATATATATATATATATATATATATATATATGTGTGTGTGTGTGTGTGTGTGTGTGTGTATATATATATATATATATATATATATATAATATACACACACACACATATATATGTATATATATATACATATATGTATACACATATACATATATGTATACACATATACATATATATATACATCATATATATACATATATACATACATACATACATATACATATATAATACATACTCACACACACACACACACACACACACACACACACACACACATACATACATACATATACATACATACATATATACATACATGCATGCATGCATGCATGCATGCATGCATACATACATACACATACATACATACATACATACATACATACATACATACATACATACATACATACATACATACATACATACATACATACATACATACATACATACATATACATACATACATACATACATACACATACATACATACATATATATATATATATATATATATATATATATATATATATATAGGCATATAGATATATACACACATTTACACATACGAATATAATGCTCAAACACGTCATATTTACACTTATACATAGTTGTATTCACATACCCGCATACACGCACACTGAGCATAGCTGAAATTAAACAAGGCATCCAGGAACAAAACAACGTGTCATGAATCTGTTTCCTGCTCTGTCGTTTGTTATCGTTTCCTTTCCACATTTCCCCGTGTGCATTTGCTAAACATTGTGTTCAAACTTGTGTCGTCAGTTGGCCATGAACTCTGTCTGTCATTCCACACCTGGCGCTATGATACCTGCCATGAGATCGGGCCAAAATCTAGAAGTTAATTTGTGATGAATCCCAAGAGATCACACGCCAGTTCAAAAGTGTACCGAACGGCCTTTTTAAAATGCAAATGGAGTGGATGTGACCAAACAAGGAAAAGACTTGGGTAGTTTTATTGGCGTGGCAAGGTGAGGTAAAGGAGTAGGGAGTCATTCCATGAGCGTGTGGCTTTGGCGGAGCGTGGATATATAACACACAAACAATGCTCGGCGTAGACTGGTAGATTGGTAAAATCCCGCAGTCACCGAGGGCTGCTCGGGCCACGCAATAAGCTTAACGTCTGATAACATTAATATTGCACAACGCCACGTCGCGTTTCAGCCGGTGTGAAGGCTGATTTCCGATTGAGGCCTGTGTCATCTCATTGTCGAGAACTTGGGATGCTTGATTCCTCTTAAACTGGGTGGGAAAAATCGGTGTCAACAAGGTTACATGCTCGCTCAAGGACTGCCAACCACCGAGTGATGACGCTCTAGCAGACGAAATCTTTCAAACCTTCTTATAGCCCACATGCTTGTTTATATCGCTCGTTGCCTGACAGCCCTAGGAAGAACAAGAGTTGTTCACTCACGACTTACCAGTTGTAGGACTGTGTTGACAACCTCCTTGTTGGAAACCTGTCCGACTTCAATAAGCCCGATCAACACGGCAAACTTCAAGTTATCCGCCATGGCCACTTTAACTACATCCTCTGGCCGTTTGACATCTTTAATCGGCGGTTCAGTTGGCTCCGCCATTTTTACTGAACTTTATACACACTGTGACTACACAGGTAACACCTTATGATTCACCATTCACTGAAAATCACCACTCTACACGGGACAAACGTCAATGACGACTGCGGACAGACGCCATGTTTGACAGATACTGAGTTCGTTGGTGGATGAAATTTTGGAACCCACCATCTATTCTTTAACTTTTTCGATTAGTATTCTTCGTTATATAGTAGAATCATCGAATTTGAGTATGGAATTAATATTGACCACCATTTAGATTTACAAATATGATTGTTATATCACGATATGAATAATATCGGTGTTAATAATATTTTGAGAAAATGATATAACAGTTACTCTGCTGAGAGACATTTTAAATCACTATTTATAATTACATATTTCATACCAAGATTCATATATAGGCTTTTGAAAATGCATCTTACAGTTTGAAAATATGTTTGCAATCGAACGCAAGGCTGGGTATAGCGAGCGCGGGAAAAATTTCAAGTTTCAAATCTGGAATTTGAGAATCCCTTCGTTTCGACTACGATGACTCATTCATTTTTTATCTAGTTCAAATAATCTTCATCGCTAATTTTCCTTTGCAATTATACAGTATACAGTGATTTTTCAGGGCTACTTGAAGAGTTATATGACTAAAATCAGGATTGCCATTTTGAAATATTGATTAGTACCGGCAGCTGCAGGGAATTTGATGTAAAGAATGATACGGTAACTGCCTACATAATCAATACACCCAGTAAAGTAACTGTTGAAATGGATACAGCAAGCGATATATTAAGATTTAAATAAGTAGTTCGTTTTCGAGTATATCTTCGTGTAAATCAATTATCAAAATAATCATGGTTTGTGGAAACATAATGTGTGAAGAAAAAAAGATAATACTAACTGCTCCACAAAATTCAAATTGCTTATCAGTTACAAACGTATAAGACATGAGTAGGTTTCATCTTATCTTACCTGTCAACCTTTTCATTATCTTATATATACCCTATTTGGAGAAATGCTTTTCTTCCTTCATGGCTTAAAAAAAATAAAACGCAAAGGAAATTCAACAGCGAAAATGTACCTATAGCAATTCCGAGTTATTGTCCACATTTTACAAGGTTATATTTTCTAGAATGAAGTTTTGTTTCATACTTATTTGATCTCAAACTGCATTATGTTACAATACACATTTTTTTTTGTCCACTTGATAAGATTATTCCTTCCATATGCATGTGTAAAGAAAGCTATTTAAAAAATTACTTGGATATGTTTTCTTTTTTTGAGAAGCGGGTATCAAACTATTCAGGTAATTCTTGTTGACTCTATTTATTACACATTCATCATATCCATATAAGTCCATAAATATGTTACTATGGTTCCTACCTATATTTCCTTAATGATAGAAATGCAAATAATTATTCTGAGATTAACAAGCTGACCCTCTAGTTTCAATTTAGGGATGTTTTTAATGTATGGTAAATATATGTTTCATATAGAGGTATATTTTCTTATGAGGGCATTTTTGAGATAGTCTTGCATGTGCATCACTAAACCATATGCTGCATACATCATCTAAAACATTTATTGCATGAGTGGCAAGGTTCAAGATTTCAGTGCAAAATACCAAATATATCTAAACAATAACTGATGGGTTAAATCTGAAGACAAAAACTGTTGGTAAAGGTTAATGGTTAAAACAAATATATGTACCAGACAACAAGGTCATATAACACTAAAAACTCTTGCAAATAGTTTTCTAAATATATGCCATATCATGTAAAAGATATCACAAAAATAATGGTTTAACTGGTAGAAAAAATATTGAACAAAATCAAAAAGCTTTACCCGTAATTCTTTTGCCTCTAAACTCTAATTTTATAATATAGCTATCGCCTCTGATTTCCAATACTCTATACCTCATGTACCAAATATAGACACCAGTACAGAAAGCTATGTGATGATTTCATTTTGATTTTGGAAATTTGCATTGTTCGGAGATTTACCAATACAGCACGAGAGGTTCTTATAAATGTGTTTCCTTGACAATCTGCTAATAGCAACGGTGTAGAGAAACAAATATATCCATATAATGATTGTTTTATATAATGAGAAGAAAATCTGTAGGTGATGCAGGTGAGTTAAATGGTGCTTACTAACTGTTACAGCCATTTTATATCAGTGATGATGAGGGATCAAGAATGTGAAGGGGAGTATATTTCAATGACATATTCTTATTACATTACATTGATGTTATTAAAGCTAAAACACAAGTCTGCAACCAAACACCTACTTCCTAAAAAATAAAACATTGGTATTTATAATTCATATTTTCTGTTGTGAGGCAATAGATAAAATTATCTAAGAAAATAAATTTGGTACTCGGATTGATGCCTGTTCACAATGGGGGTGAAATTCTAAATTCTCAGTAAGGGAAAAAATACATCTCAGACCCATTTGAAATGTTTCACAAAACATTGAATGCAGTAAAGTTTTCCTTAATTTGGTCTTTTTTTTGTTGAAAAATTAAGTTAAAAATCTGAACTTGATAAGATTTGCATTTGGAGTTAAGGATTTACCCTTAAATAGCAAGTGTTGCGGTGTTATGTCATTATAAGGAAGGAAGAGTGGTTTCATATTACCTCTAAGGCTGAGGTGAGTTTTATTTCGGACACCACTAAATTGCCCACCATTTAAGTTAATGTGCTAGATATCAAAGGTCATATAGCACTATGGAAAGATGTAGTAGTGAAAGGGATAAAGAGGGGGTTAGTTGATGACTAAATGTGCTACATGTTAAAGAGTTAATGGATTGGTTGGAATCTTCAAAAATTTGGATAGTAAACTGATCAATTAATATGGCAATCTAAACAATTCTAATACTATTGTATATGGCTTCCTCAATTGTTTCTAAATGAACTTTCATTTATTCACAAGTTTTATCATATATATTCAAAATATGCATACTATGTTCCTCTCACTTTTCATTAATATCTTATCTCATTCTTCAACTGTTTTGCTAAAATGTAGGAAAATTTACTCAAATTAAAAATAAATACTTTAATTTAACATATTCTGAGACTAAGTGAAGATTAAACATTCATGCTGAGGGCAAATTGTTGATGACAAAAAAATCTTACTAAATTGGGCTGAGATGTGAACAATATGTATGAAAAATGTCTTTTAATAACTTCTACCATTTTTGAACCCTAGTGGTTACTCACCATTGTTGCTCATCTCTGTCTCTGTCTGTCTGTCTGTTTGCCTGTCTCTCTCTCTCTCTCTCTTTTTTTGTAAAAGAAACATCAACATTTTAATAGTTTATTATAAGGTGGGCATTACTACAATATAAAAGGTGTTTGTAGAAAGGGTAAATAATTTCTCATTTTTAAACATTTTACATCATAAAAGAAGGAAAGGAAACATAATTACACACCAAAATTCATCATATCTCACAAGCATACTGTGAATCCTAACCCCTAGACACTGGCATCGTGCAACTCACCTGGTCCCTGTAACTGGGCCGGTTCGTGAAAATGTAGCAGACAGATACTAAGACACGTCTTTTGACATTTCTATATTTCATGGATATGGCTATGCTAAAATTTTTGTGGGAAGTTGGCAGGGTAAACAAACCCCTGTATCTGTCAGCTATGATTACCATATATATACCCCTCTGCCAAGGAGTTAAACTTTATCCTGTAGTGTAAACATTACTAAAGATATTTTCAAAGTCATAGAATTACTGAATATTCAAATAAGAATTTTTGAACATCTGCACATAGCAAATTACAGTAACAAATTTAATCCGCAGTAACATTCAATGTTATAGAATAATTGAAAATATTACAAAGTTTATTGTAATAAATAACTTATATTACAAAATCACAAAAGCAATATTACAACAGCTTACTACCATTTCAGCCTGCCTTTACCTTCATCTTTGTATCCTTAGATTTGTTTGAAAAGAAGGAAAAATGTGCATATACTATTTCTAAAAAAAAGAGAGGAAGACTGAACGTATGTGGTAAAATTCCCACTTTTTATGTGATAAATTTTTGGTAACTAGTATAAATCCGTCCTCTGTCACTCACTTTAATGCAATCTTATACACACATGCATTTGTCAGAAGTAAATAACAATACTTCCCGTAAGAATCATGGAATTTTGTGTCATTGTGTATCATGCAATAAAATACTAACATGATGTATGCTCACATCCAAAACAAAAACAACTACATTTTAGTGTATGAACTTTAGACCCAAATATATAGAACTACAACAAATATTCAATAATAGCTTAAGAAAAATATTTGTCAAAATTCTTTGTGGACTACAAACAAGACTTGGAAACATAAGGAACTGATTGTATTTATGTACACTTTCTCATTCATTTATATCTTATTGCAAAGATATTTTTGCCTACTATTTACTTCTGGAACACTACTAATTTCCATCATTTGTATTTTTGATTAAACTCTTTTTGTTGTAATTTCTTTTTACACAATTTAACATAAACTTTATCTAAGTTCTGAAGTATCACACATTAGAAGGAAATATTACTTATTTTACAATAAATTAACCTCATAAATAAATTTACTCTAAATGTGATTTCTTTTTCTAAATAAATGGAAAAGTTTCTTCTGAAATATTGGAATATAATATTCGACACCTGCAAATACAAGACACTAGGTGTTTTGGTAGAAAAATTGTGGAAAAAACTAACTTAGTATCACATTTTTTAATATCAAGCATCTAAAAGCTTGCATATGTACCAAAGAAAATGACTAGGAAATAATACTTTGATTGGTGATATGTACTAAGTTATTAGTTGTCTTATACACCCTGAAAGTTAATATATACTGTACTTGTAAATACTACAGCAAAAGCTCCAGTGTGTGTCCATGTGTGATATATAGACTGTATTATATGACTAAGACTGAAACTGTGATCGTTTTATGAAGTGTACAGCCGATATGCAGATATAAAGGTAATGAAATAGAAAATATGATTTTAAAAAATAAAAATTCTGCTGAGATCATCTGTTGTAGCATACTAAATGTACTACAGATTTTCTGTGTATACAAATAATCCACATAAACCACATTTTTTTCTATTAACTTAATAAGCCTAACCTGTGAAGTTTTTATCACTAATAGTCTTTTCATGTTCAACACTTGAAATTTCTGAAGCATATCTGATACATCTTTCTATTTTACTATAAAGATAATTCTGAATTCTTTAGTACATCGTTCAGAATATTCCAGTCAAGCACCATAAAAAGAACAGAAAAAAATCAACAAATCAACAATGAGTGAACTGGAGGGATATATAATGCATGAAGGTATTAGTGGATGTGTATTTAACTTCGTTATTGTCATTGATATGATGACTTTTAATAAACTAGTCTGTTTATTTTGAGCTTTTACTGTAACAATACAAAAATTAATCAAATGCAACGTTTACTTCTGGTTACTGATATTGTCAAATGCACTTTTAACATCCTAACTAAGTGGTATCAGCATTAATTTATAAAAGACACAAAGTTTAGTGGTAGAAATCATGAACTCTATTTAGTAAATAGCAACCTCTATAAATCTTTCAAGAGCTCTGCACAAATCTCCTTTTGATGCACCCAATTTAAATGTTTTCCCTTCTATGATCACAAATGTATGTTTAAAGTAAAAAAGAAAAGAAAAGAAAAGAAAAAAGCTTTAGCTCTTTTATAACAAGGAGCCTTTTTCTATCTCAATATGGGACAATAATTTCCAGAAAGGTTTAGAGCTGGATAAAACTTACTTATAAAAGGGCACTTTACAATGCAATTCATATTTCCTTATCTATTTACATTCTAAACTAGCTGAAAACAGCATATAACATGACAAAAAAATATGTTGTATATTTTCATTAAGTTCAAAATTCCTGAGAGTCAGTGGGAATCTTTTCTGACAAAGTTTCACGTGTTTTAGGTTTAGCAGGCTTGTTACTGGCAGAACCTGTGAGAGTGGGGCTTCTTCCTCTTGTACTCCTTGAGGGAGAATTACTGTCCTTTGACGATGTTCGAGTTAATCCTTTGCTTGATTTTGGTCTTCCTCTTAACCCGCCTTCTTGGTTGTCTTTTCTCCCAATATCTTGTGAGCCTGAAGGCATTGGACTGTTTTCCTTCGAGCGTTTGCCAGAAGGTGATGAGCTTCCACTGTTTGTTCCCATGGGAACAGAGGAACGTCTTGGAGGTGTCCCCTGAGAGGCACTAGATGCTTGTGACTTGGTCATCACTCGGCCTGGTGATGGGGTGTTAGTCCTTGACCTGCTGACTCTATTTGACTGGGTACCCCGGCCCTTGACTTGAAGTTTTTCCATTTCTTTGTCTACAAAGCCAAATGGATCTGAAGGAGCAATCTTTTCATCTTTAGCACCTCTTCCTCTGCCTGAACCCTTCCTTCTTACTGACACTCTGGAGGTACCTCTAACCTTTCCTCTTACAACTTGACTCTCTTCAGGTGCTGGAGATGCTGGGATCTCTTCAAAATCCATGAGGTTTTCATCTTCTGTTGACTGGCATGCTTTTGGAATAAAGTCTGCAAAGAAACAAAATCCTATAAGTAATAAAATTATTCCATAAAAGATTTATCTCTTCAAAATATTCTACAAATCAATGCTAAACCATAATATTGATTAGACATTGAAGAACAGATGCCTATTCTTCACATAAATAATATAGTTCAAATAGTCCCTAGAACCTTAGAAAAACACTGATACATCATTCACATGCAGACACAATTGTCACAATGCAGAACACCTTAACACAAAAGAAATAGTTCATAGTAAACACAATGCAGATTGCAATAGGCTACACCATGGCTGCTATATCTACACATTCATCAATATACTACGTACCACAAATATTCGTCACTATATTCCTACCAACAAACCTTGCTTATATAAAAGACACATGCAGTAACTTTACAAAAAAGAAAAAGAAAAAAAGAAGAAAAAAATTGTTCCACACAGGGACAACCGCCTTTTTCCATGGTTTGGAAATATTTAGTTTCCATTGTAATTAACTAGAAAATACAACACTGACACCCTCAACTCTCTTCCATAAGAGCAGCATCCTTATTGGACAGTGACCTCAGCCACTGTCTAATTTTGTAAATCATCTGCCTGACATCTTACACCTGAAACCATAAGTTGAGATATCTTCAAGCCTGCTTTCAGGTCTCACAAATACTTTTACCTAATACCAAATACCCACTGCCATTCATATGCAGCAAAGAAATACAGCTGTCAAGAGATGCATGGTACAAATCACACCTCATAAAACAGTGAGGTGGGGTGCTTCATGCTCAGGGTGATTTGAAGCGATGGTGTGATAACCTAGGTAGTTTTAAGTGCTTGAATGCCTTCTCACTTCCAGCTGCCACTGCTGGTTAGCCTAATGCAAAAAAGGGAGCAGCTCTGCATAAACCTCCCCTACAAGTTCATAGTCTCTCCATTATCAAGACTTCTGCAGTGCCTCCTCATGGTCACCCATGGAAACTGGGTACCCTGTGGTCCCAGGCTCAACTGTGGGGAAACTCAGAGAAGCAGGAGACCCCAGAGGTACAAGGTCATGACCCACTGGCATGTGGACATGCCCTGGCTTTGTACCAACTCTTGGCCCTCAGCCCCTTGGGGTTAATGGGTGATTCGGGGGAGGTGGGCCTTACCAGTCCTCCTCCCCTCATATATGACTCATCGGCAGTGTCTAGTATAAACAGAAATGCTGGGGAGAGGGGAAATGCCCCTCCACCCAGCAAGTAAGACAGATTGTGAGCCCCATTGGGAGAGCGAAAGGATGGGAATGAGAGCTACTTGTTCCACCTGCATTTTGGTAGCCGTCAACCCAAAGTGAAGTTTCTGGTACAAAGCCCAAGGTCCTGCAGCCTGCAGCCCCCCTTTATATGGGGCAACGTCAGTGGGGGTGGCAGAGATGGCATCCATCTGGAGTAACTGCCTGAGGCTAAACCTCAGGCAGGATGTCAGGAATGGGGTTTTGGAACATCCACTCTTTGCAACCGGATGACTGCTTGCCACTATTTTCAAGGGAACTGAGGAGGCTAAAAGTTGAAGTGATTTCTCTCTCTGAGGTGGGAAGACTGGCAGCGGCACAATTAGTGTGGGTGGCTACACCCACGCTAACAGTGATGGTCACCATCTTCAGGGAGTAGCCATAGCGATCTCCAGGTGACTTCAGCCCTCGGTAGTAGAGGTTATCCCAGTCAATCAGTATATAATGGCACTGAGATTGAACCTTGCTTTTGGCTTCATATCTCTTATTGCTGTGTACACTCTTACCTATGTTTGTAAACTCAATGTGAAAGAGATGTTTTACATCAAACTTGCATCTGTGTCAGGGAGTTGTCCTCAGTGAGATATTCGTATTGTTCTGGGTGACTTCAATGGGATATCTGGCTATGATCGAACTGTCTATGAGATGTCTGTCAGTCCTCATGGTTCAGGCGCTGATGCCAGCAGCAAGAATAGCCTCTTTTTCCGGGACTTTGCAAGGTCCCAAAAATTGAGGAATTCTAGCTCTTGATACCAGCACTCTGACCCACATCGTTGGACGTGGTACAGCAATGCAGGTAATGCAGCCAAGAAGATTGACCACACCCTCATTAGGACTCGGACAATCCTCCAGAACTGCAAACTGTATAGGGGTGCTGAGTTCTGTGGTATTGACCATAGATTAATTGTGGCTACCCTCCAGGTCCACTTCAAAATTCCCCAGCGGTCCAATGACCACCCTAGAGTGTTTCATGTGGACAGGCTGAGGGAAGGCAAGTGTGGCCGGGGGTTTGCTGAGGCAAGCTGATGGACCCTATACTTCTGTGGGACACCTTCAAGTGCGAAATGCTTGATGCAGCTCAAGAATTCATTGGTGAACACCCAAGAATTAGACAGAAATTTATCTCGCAGGAGACACTGGATGCTACAGATGCTTGTCCTGCAGCTCATCTGACTGAGGATTGGGATTTGCATCGTTCTCAGGTGTGCAGGACTCGGTCACTGTTGACAATGGACAAGGAACAGTTT